TTTAATTAAATTTAGCTTTATCAACTATAATGATCGTACATTTACTAGATCTTAAATTTTATTAAAGCCAATTATATAAATAAAAACATCATTTCTTATCCTTATAAGTCGTATGGAGTTTTATAAATAAAAGAATGTTGTTATCTTAAATCTTAAATCTATTCCTTAAAGAACGAGCGTGTGCATTAGTTGCACTGGCACGTCCTAGATGAAAAACCATCAAGACTGACTGAGAATTATTAGATTTGAAGCAGACAGGAGGTGGAGTCTGCATGGGAATAGTCATCTGTAACCAATCCCTATTCACGCTCTATATTGATCGTATAACGCCCTAAGAGATTCTCACTGCCGTTTTTTATAAATGGCGTTGTATTTTCAGGATTTCTTTGCAAAAGGATGAGGTACTTAGTCTGATCAAATAAAGTATATAGTTTAAACTAACTCGCTTTTCGGTCCACATTGTTTATTTATGTTCATTTCTTTCATCAAGGTAACCTATACGGATAAATAATCACATTCTATTCTCAAGAGCATTACAATACAATATTAATTTTCCTTTTCCAATAAAAGAATAGTAGTGTAGAACGGGCAAAAATCGAATTTATTTTCTACTTTATTAATAAACATTTTTCATGCGATAGCTATTAGTCACCTTGATGGCGTATCGCTTTTTTATATTGTTTATTATTTTTAGGACTTTTAAATGAATGTTTAACAATCATCCTTTCGTGTTTCGTATTGTAGCCATATTTCGTAGGAGGCTTATTTTGGCAATATTATTATTCAAAACGTTTAGAGATGATGATTTAGTATTTTCATATAGAAATTACGTTTAAAACTACGTTCAATGTTTGTATCTTTGAAAACATTAAAAATAATTGCAAAAAAGCAACATGTACGGAGTGCCACCATTAGCTACCCCGTGGGAACGTGCGCATCTGCCTTATACAGAGGGAAAGCGTTGTAATCACGCTATATATCAGGGAAAACCCTGGCTATGCTATTATTATCTGAATTAATTGGCTATAGTCCCATCACTATATTTATTTGTATAACAGATCAATTGCAACATACTAGTAGGTGCTAGGCTAGCCGCCTAATTTCTAAATATAAGACATCGTTGCTTTACGATGTATGTAGATAAGCAGTTTTAGACTACCTGGAATTGTAGTTTACACAAATAAAACATTTAATATTTGATTATTTATTATATAAGCTGATAATTTTCTATATTCCGAAATTCTAAAGATATAATTTTAATAATTTATATTTACATATAGAAGAAGGTTAACCATGTGATTTTAAATATACCTAGATCAAACAACATAATATTAATATAATTTATAAATTAATTGATTGCAGAGAAATTTCATTCATGGCTTGTCGGATCTTTTTCATGTTAACACTAACTCTGCAAGAAAGTGAGACTAATGACTAATTATTTAGTATGGCAGGTGTTACCTGGCATGACCCTAATAGTTACATAATTTTGTTATTTATACTACAATACAATATGGGAGTTCATTACAGCATTTCAGCAATATCTAGTTATGGACAGACCTCAACAAAGAGTTTTGCTAATAATATGTACAACTGTTTATCTCAATTCTTCTTTATCGATGACGTTGTTTGAGTTGGAGTACATTTTGGGATCTTCTGGCACCCAAATTTTAGCATGCAGCGTTCCTCCTGGTGGACGTTCACCACGTCTCGACCAAGACAGCGAATGTGCTTGGAAATTGTTGCCTGGAACAAATAATTGAAATATATACCCTTTAATCTTTCTTGTCGTTTAGACTTAAGTGTATAATTTCTCAGGCTGCGTACAGAGAGAGCGAGAGATTTTTGCGGTGGTAGGGTCATGCAACAGCCTCGGCTGTTGCACGAATGGGCAGGCTTATCCGGGTAAGTACCACGACCTCACAGAAGACCGGCGTAAAGTGGAAGTATAATACTTAAGCGTTTCGTCTGGTGAGTGAGGTGGCCGGAGCCCAATTTTCTAAAGAATGTCAACGCATCTGCAACCCTCGGGTGTAGCAGATGTCCATGGACGGCGGTATTCACTTAACATCTCACTTACTTAACATCAGGTGAACCGTCTGCTCGCTTGGCAACTTTTCACATAAAAAAAAGATAGAGAAAAGGGTCACTTATGTGATTTTTCTGTTCTGCGTCTGTATCATTCTTTACATAAGGATCCTTTGCCTTATGGACTTAGTTCAAACCTAGTCCAATGAACCGTCCATAAGAAAAGAAATGGACTGAACGGGATAAAGTATGTATTGGAAAGAGACGAAATTTATAATATGATATTTTATAAAGTGTTGTTTATCAACCAACAATCTCCAATAGCTTTCAAATATTTCGTTTTCTCAAATTCATTGTGATATATAATCAAATAAAGGTAAAAACTTCTTTAATAGCTTGTTAAGAAAGAGTTTTTAATATAATAAAATATAATAGTAAAATTCACGATGATTTAATTTTTAAACTGACACCAAGCGTGGACGTGCTGTACTAAAGGTTTACCTTTTGGACGGAGCATACTTTATAGTTGCTGTGGTCGAAGTCGCCTTTTTTATTTATCTCTATATATAAAAATTAATCGCTGAATGTGCTGCTAAGCGAGAAGCTCAATAACAACTGAACCGATTTCGCTTATTCTTTTTTTATAATATTCCTAAAAAAATTTAAAAAATGCCTGAATAATCTAAAACAACACTTTTCTATATTCCGGTACAAAATATTCGTAATAATACTTAGAAGTGAATTTAAACTTTAATAGCATACCATAAAGTTTAAGTGTTAGTGAAGCGGTTCCGGGAAGGCAACACAAATGGGTGACTGTGGTAGTGTCACTTGAAATGTAAACATCTCTTTGCTGTGCATCACTACATAGTATAAAACAAAGTCGTCCCGCTGATTGTCTGTCCCTATGTATGCTTAGATCTTTAAAACTACGCAACGGATCTTGATGCGGTTTTTTTTTACTAGTACCTTCCTACATATTATTATGTATAATACATTGCACTTGTGTAAAGCCGGTGCGGGTCGCTAGTTGTATATATTATTATGTACCCTTATGCTTTTGTAATATGCTTCAAGGGAAGAGGTTATGTTTAGTATTTTTCTAAGATTATATTAAAAAATAATTGATAATAAGTCACAGATTTGTATACAGCGTGTCGTTACCATCGCGACAATAAATGAACACACGTCTAACGCTACTTGCCAACAATCATAAAAAAATATTAACGTTAAACAAAATTAATAATTAATAAAATATATTTTTCAAACAAACTAATTAAGTAAAAAAGAAACAAAATTTGTAACATCCTATACAACTCGCGCCACAGCGTCGTGTTACAAGCCTCTCCTTCTAACAGTATGTTTTGTCTCTTTTAAATTCATTCAACCCATTCATATGCTTTGTGACCTTTACAAATTAACTTTACGTTACGCTTTTATAGGTAAGGGTGTTCTAAAATTCTTTGTCTTGGAAAATTTAATAACTCTGTAAATATTGATGATTAAAGAATTTAAATGTTTAATACAACTTTAAAAATTTATCCCCAATATGTGTGTTCATTTATTGTCGCGATGGTAACGACACGCTGTATACTGAAATTGTGGTATTACATTTTTCGTTCGAAGTCATACCTATCTACTTCTTTTGAATTATTTTATGATTATATTATGTATGTTTAATATGAAGGTCGTATACATATCCACAAAATCAAAGAAAGTTAGCTACTCTCTTACAATAAACTTACAGGTTATTACTGTTAGTATTGCAAAATTTGGCATCTTAAACGATTAAATAGGTCCTGATCGAATGAATTAGGTAATCTATAATCGTTGATCTTTCAATTAGAATTGCATTACTACCCACGCAAAACCGTAATCGAGCATAAACACAAGTTTTATTTATCTCCAATTATTCTGAAGAGAGCGTAAACAGTTCTCCGCAGGGGGTTCATCTAACTAAACATTTCGCGATGTGGTACAATATCGGGGTGTTTGATCGGGGGTTCAAAGCGGGGACGCGTGCACGTGCGCGCTGTTGTCTCCCCTTACCCCGTAATGCTAGTGTTGCTTATCGTCATATATCGACAGTGGGTTCCATAACTTTTGTGACATTCAGGAAACTATGGCAGTGCAATACGGTTATACGTCTTTGCGTAGCTACATTATTGTACACAACCGCAGCTTTAGCAAAGGAACGTGAACTTCTCGACCCCGAATTAAAAACAGGAATAATCATAAAAGTAAAATCAGATCAATATAATAATCCATTCGTAATATTATATAGTATAACATAATAGAATATTCATATTTATTTCATTAAAAAATGTAAATAACCTATGAAATATCCAACTTTTTTATATTAATAGTTGGCAAGCTAGCAGGTGGTTCACCTGATGTTAAGTTTTTACCGCCAACAATACTTGATGCTTTGCAAACGCGTTGCCAACATTAAATAGTGGAAAAGTATTTTAAGTATATTCACGCTAAGCTTCTGTGTGGTTTTGGACTTTTGGTGCTTCCCCGGATGAGCCTGCCCATTTGTGCTGCGTGGCTCTAACACAATGTAAACTCTTAATAAAATAACTCTTTCAAGTCATATGTTTTTAATGTTTATCGATAAATAATAAAACATGTAAATTGAACCACCCTAGCGACAAACGACGAACGTTTATACAAGTGCATTAATAACAGTTTAGGACTATATCACAAAGGACATATTGAGCATTTCCGGTAATTACACCGCTTGTCTTTTTAAGAGCGCCACAAATAATGAATTTTTAATATCTTGCACCTTACAATGTTTGTGCTATAATTGAGACAAAAATTATGCGTTTGCCGTCTGTAGCAGTCCGAAGCGCAGTGAATTAAATTTATTTACAAGTGTGAATTGAAAATTAATTACCTTTGTAATTAATTTTCAATTTATTACAAAGGTCAAGGTTCAAGGAGATCAAAACCTACGGTTTATATTAATTTTGTCCGCGGTAATTTTTGCCTGCATATTTAGCTAATGCGCCTAACTCCTCCTCTATACGCAAAATTTGATTATATTTGCCTATGCGTTCAGATCTTGCTGGGGCACCACACTTAATCTGACCCGCCGATAGCCCGACAACCAAATCAGCTAGGAAGAGGTCGTCCGTATCCCCCCATCTGTCACAGACCACTACGCCGAAACCATTTGATTTCATCAATTTAAAAACATCTATTAATTCCGTGAGAGTAGCCGATTGATTTAATCGTAACCCTAAAGTATTTCCCGCTCTTTTCTCCACGGCTAGGCCAACTCTGCGTAGATTTGTCTGAGTCAAATCGTTCCCGAATAACTGAGCTTGCGTTCGCGAGGTCAAAGTGGACCACGCAGCCCAATCATCATAATCAAATGCATCCTCGATGGAGCACAGCGGGAACTCCTTCATGCTTTCGAGATATAATTCTGCGAGCTTGTCAGAAGACATGTAATCTTGCGGATTTGTATTAGTATTTTTAAATTCCAAATCGTAGGCGCCATCTTTTAATAAATCTGAAGCGGCAGCGTTTATAGCAATCTCAACTTTCCCTCCGTATCCGCACTGTTTGATAGCGTCCGTCAATACAATAAGCGCATCTCTGTTACTTCGCAACGGTATGGAGAAGCCGCCAGTATCGCTGACATAAGTTGCTTCAACTTTATATTTTGATTTGATTATATTCTTGACATATTGGTATATATCAGTACCGAGGCGCATTGCTTCAGAAAACGACGATACACCAGTGGGCATTATTAAATATTCTTGAAAAGGTAGCTCGTTAGATGCAAGAATACCTCCCGTCAAAATGCTAAAATGTGGGACTGGCATTATTATGCTCGTTACATCCGCCATATCGGAAATGTGTCTGTACAGTGGCATCCCTTTTTTCGCTGCCCCAGCCTTGGCCACAACCATGGACACGCACATGATAGCATTAGCCCCGAGTCTTGACCTGTTTTCGGTACCGTCGAGTGCTAGCATGAACTGATCGATCTCCTTTTGCATAGTGACTTCATAATTTTGCTTTATGAGTTCAGGCCCAATAATAGTATTAATGTTTTTAACGGCATTGCTTACCCCTCTACCCATGTACTCCGCGGGGTTATTGTCACGCAATTGTACAGCCTCAGCGATCTTTTTAGCATCAGTACTTGGGACGCCTACACGAAACAGCCCAAGCTCGGTTACCATGTCTACCTCTACAGTAGGAACTCCTGTTGAATCGAATACTTGACGGGCTAGCAATATTTTAATCGGCATAACTACAAAGTGGTATTTTACCAGTATAAGTGTTACACAGGCAATAATGTGACAATAAAGTTTGTTTTTACTTTTTTCGATCAAATGTCAATGTCACACGTCAAGTCTTTTGTGAAAAGCTTGCGCGGCCAGAGCCTGAAAGACTAAATAAAAAAAATACAATTGCAAGGTGCACTTCCGACGTTTTTTTATTCTTAATGCATATTTTAGGATTAGCAGTATATCGAGTCCAACAGTAGAGTCAATAGAATCAACAAAGATGGGGGACGGTCGGCACACGTGCGCGATAATCTCTATGTAAATCGTACATTACATTTCGATAAGGTGTTTTTATTAATTGAAAAAGAGATTAGCGGCATTCAGTGGGCGACGCGGTTTTTTTATAAATTATAGTAAGCATATATATATTTTGAGCAATACTTTACTTTAATTGTTTAGAGTGATTTTTTTGGGAAATGTTTAGTTAACAAAGTTGATGGTGATCAAGTTTTAGAAAACAAATATGACATCGTTATGTGTTAACAGTGTTTAATTGAAATTATTTAAATTTCCAGAAGACTTTCAAGTATATAATTTGCACACTGTGACGCCTCATAATATTTTTTTATATGACACCGCTTCGGTATTCTTTTGCAGCCAAAAGGCATTGTTTTACACTCGCTTTACTTCGTGTATACCGATCAAAAGTAACAATTCACCGTGAAAATGTGGGAATTCTTGTGTTCATTTTCTTTTGATTGATACGTTGGGTGACATTTTTAATAATGGAATATATGTATAATATAATAATTAAATAAAATTTATCATTCAAGTGAAATTTGATAAATAAATTTAATCCAATTTATTTATATAATCCACAGTTATGTATTATTGGCATTTCATAATAAGTTTTTATTTTGTATGATAACTATTTAGAAATGTTACATTATCGACAATAGCGGGAAATGTTAATCACAAATATGGGCAGCCTCAAAAACAAATGGTGGTGTTGAATCAACGGAAGAACGTTTTTATTTAATTTAATGTACCTATCAATTTAATGTGTCGAATGATATATATTAAATATATCATTTATTTAAATTTGTTTTTTAAATAAAACCGTTTAAAAACCTTTAAGTTAAACGGTTTTATTTTCTGTTTTTTTTTTGTGCACTGAAAACTACAATATTGTATTGTCATCTAAATTAAATGTGTGTACCAAATTTCAGATCAATCTGACAACGGGAAGGTGTTTAAATTTCAATTTCTAATTTTGACCCAAATAAACGAATAAATTCCGTACGTGTCGAGCTAAATAAAACCGTTTAAAAATATATTTAATACTCTAATTAATGATGTAATGTGAGTGGTTTCTTTTTCCTATAAATAGATTTTTCCGAATTTTACTGCACAGAACGTAATTATTAATGATTATTTCCATGCAAATATATGTGTATGTACGATGATACAGAACGTACGATATGCAAAATGTAATAACACCACTTGGCGTAATAAGAGTGCCTCAGTTTCGTTGCGCTAGTGTCATATTTATTTCGTATTTGTGTTTAATATCATTATGTGTACATGTTAATTTATGGAGCGCTAAATGTACTGAAGGGTTCACTAAGAATACATTAAATTTAGCGTTTTCATTTGAAACTGTTCAACTTTAACTTGGTAAAAATATTGCACTGTTAAAAATTAAACATATCGTCTCTTTTAATGTACGGGGTGTGAAGAGCTTAATAGTTTTCTAATTCACTCCACCCTTCTGTTTGCAGAGGGAGAACACTTAATTTGCTATAGCATATAATATTCGCAACTGTGAGATACTTTTACACTTTGTTATTTCAGTTTGTATTTACCCGAGATAAAATCCTCTACCAAAATACAATGCGAATTCACGTGTTTACTTATGGACGCTAACGATAAAATGTTATATCATGGATTTCTGGATTTATCTTCAGACCTAAAACCCTTCTATGGACATTTCACGGTCCGAAAATTGTTTTTTGTCACTTTGCGCTTTTTCTATAGCTTTTTTGGTATTATTTCTTAAAATTAATTGAATGAAGTGGAATTAGATAATCTTTCACATATATTACTCGACAACTGGTCCATTTATATCAGCCAGAATGTTAAAAAACAGGACAAGTGGGAGTCGGACTTGCACACGAATGGTTCCGTACCAATATCTATGAAAATGGCAAAAAATCATGTCTGTTGTTTGGGAGGGGCCTACCATACAACAGACATGATTTTTTTAATGACTTAAATATTTTTTTATTCTGGTATTTGTTGTTATAGCGGCAACAGAAATACATCATTTGTGACAATTTCAACTGTCTAGCTATCACGGTTCATGAGATACAGCCTGGTGACAGACAGACAGCGGAGTCTTAGTAATAGGATCCCCTTTTTCCCTTTGGGTACGGAACCCTAAAAACCTCCCTTTAATTATTGACTTCACACTAAGCTGGAAAGATCAAATTACAAGTCAGTCAGAGAGTCACAAGCGTTCAACCAAACCAAATTAAAGTAACTTCGTGCAGTCCTTAAATTTCCCTATAATCGACTATTGTGCCATGTTTTACTGTAACCTGAATGCAGAGCACCTCGATAAACTCGTTTTCTGATTACTGCATTCGATTCATTCTTGTTTAATCTTTATTAATTTGCATTCCTCTTTAATCTTCATAAGTACGATCATATTATGTCGTCTTAGTGCTCACGACTTCAATAGTTACCTATTCATCAAATGCGTTCATTAAGAGCACTGACCACGCTAATCTTATTAATTAAACTATTTTATATTTTATTTATTGCATTGTCATAGCACGACAAAATCCGTAAAGTAATATCATATGACATGTATAATATTCGCGTAAAACAAGAAATCAATACGTTAATTCTCTTTATATCTGTGATACTCTTTCTTGGATTCCTCTCTTATTATTCCACCCTTTTATCATCTCCCCACTTTCAATATCTTTTTACTGTAAATAATAAGAAATTTCGTTCAAAAATAATCATCTTCTCCAGTGTCCTTTTCACCGTTCTGATCATGTTTGTGTAGTTTTGTATCCAGTTATCCTACATAACGGGCATTTGTAGAAAGATTTTTTGTGCGTAGTTTTAAATAAAAAAATGAATGGTAAAGATAAATGGGCATTTTTTTCATTATATTTACTATTACTTTTACAATTATCCATATTTGTTTTGCCATAAATAATGTGGATGAAAGCATGGCGCAAATTTTTGTTCGCAGATCACCGATGTCCAATTATAATTTGCTACCATCAATTCAAATATATCAGGGATAGATGCGACTATAGTTTCGTGACAGATCCCACGGGATATAGCACGCCATCACGCTATGCGCCGTGGGAAAAGTACGGGAACCACACCTGGACCATTTGAACGCAGATATCGGCACATTGCGAGTTTTATCACGCTCTTATAATGTCCTGAATGGAGTGCGGTAACATTTATGGGGTTGATAAGGATGCGTAATTATTATTTTATCGTACCATTCGTTTGAAAATTAATAATGTGTTCTTAATATAAATATTTGGAGAATAGTATGTTTTTGTAGAAAGAGACATCTACACAACAGAGGTGACTTCATTTTCAATCGAATAATATTATATCCTCATATACTCAGAGAGACCGTTGGCTCGAAAATTATTTACTTATTGTTAAAGATAAACCTTATACTAGGACGATACGACAAGAAAAACCGTTTTGAAAACATTCGACCGCCATAGAAATATAAGTGTTGCAATAAATAGTATTACAATTTGGTTTCCGTCGCGACCGCAGTATCGATCTTCTAAAGGTGCGCAAACAAATTGGGGTGTGCCCTGGCACAACTTGACCCGCGCCATAAACTTTACCTCTATACGAGATCAACCTGTGTGTCAATTATGTTTGTGTTCATTTTAATACCCAATATAGAATTTGTTATTAAGTATCTTCGCTTTGCTGTTGTTGCATGTGGGAAACATTAGTAAATGAGAGCTTTCATTTAAAATGTTAATAATTTAAGTAGTATGAAGGGACTGTAAAGGTTTTAAATCCTATGACATTACCCATAGCTTAAATTATCTACTTATTCCTAATACTGTGTTATATTTGCTTATTAATATAAATATAGCGAATGGTTACTATATCTAATACATAAAATTCTTATATCACAGTTTTAGTGTTTATACTCCTCCGAAACGGCTTGACCGATTTTTATGAAATTTTATATGTACTTATATTCAGAATCTATGGGAACAGATTTGTAACAATTATTTTCTACCCTACAAATAATTCATATGGCAAAACAACGTTTGCCGGATCAGCTAGTTATTATATTAAATTAATATAGCTGATGAAATTATTTTAAATAGTAGAAATCTTATGAGAGAAATCCAATTGTAACTCAAGATTGGAGTAAAATTGATTGCCAAGAAGATGTTCAACAGTTACGATTACATAATCTTTGTTGCTGTTGCTACATATAGTATTTGTTGTTGTGTTTACATATAGTCTTTGTTCGTGCAATTACACGAGTAGTACCTACTCGTGTAATTGCACGAACAAAGAAATGCAATTACACGAGTAGGTACTACTCGTGTAATTGCCTTAAAGGGCTTAATTTACAAATAGATGACAAAAAATTCGCAAATAAAACATTTATTTACATTTTTCTACTATGGTTTCTATTCAATTCTGAAATATTGAATTCTACACCTTTCGTCTCATACATGTCGTAACCACATATAAAAATCTCTTTATAAGTATTTTTTAAAACAAAATCGCTCCCAATATTTGTACGCTTAGATCTTTTAAGCTACCTACCTACCCTACGGATTTTAAAGTGGTTTTCAGCAATAGATAGAGTGGTTTAAGAGGAAGGTTTATATGTAGTATAGGATGCATAATTATTATATAAGAAAAAAATTGGGAAATTCAAAGATTTGTAATTTCATGTAACAAACATGTTTTTGTGCGCTTAAATTGCAAACGCTGGTTAAACCTTACTATCATAGTAATGTACTGCGGCATTGTATAAAAAAATATAAAAGAGCGATAAAAAGTCAAACAGCGTATGTTTATCTCATAAGGATGAACCACAGTAATCATTTTTTAACCGACTTCAAAATAGAAGGAGGTTCTATATTCCATTGTGTGTATTTTTTATGTATGTTCAACGATTTCTCCCCCATTTGTGGAACGATTCCCAACATTATTTTTTATTTGAAAGAGTATACTTCTGAGGTGGTCCCACGTCAAGATCTGATCTGATGGAATCCCATGGTAATCGAAGGCAAGAACTCAAATGATATTAATCAAATGATATAGATATTAACAATGTTTTTCATGCATTTCTAAAGCTATTAAGTCTTTTCCTTATGGTCATCATCATCCTATGATGTTGAACTGATGAAGGAAGGTACAACTCCTTAGCGGCTAGGAGTTAGGTGATTTCTTGTTCTAGAGTAATGTATAGAGACTTGTCGATATCAATAATTGATTTCTCTGAAGACGACAGAGATAGCGCTAGAAACTAGAAGTATTAATCATTTTAAACGCTATTAAGAAAAGAAGGAGCAGGTTGTAATTCGACGCGTATTTTTAACCGACCGCAAAAAGAAGGACGTTATCAATTCGGATGTTTGTATGTTTTTTTATGTACGGAGTTATACCCGAATAACTCCGTCATATACAGACAGATTTGCAAATTTCTTTTTATTATATTATTGTTCGAAATGGTTTTATTTCGAAATAGTCCCATTTAAATTTCATTTAGTTCTGGTGATGAGTTTCGGACATTTACAACGGAATTTTTAAAAATTTACATCAAATCTACCGCGATTACTGCTATTGCATAAATATGCATTGTTTTGCGCAATCACACAACATAACATCATGTCTGTACACTCGAAAAGGTGAAGCAGATGTATTCAGTAAAGTCGATAACGCGAAAACAACGTATTTACACAATTAATAGATACCCTGTTTTCGCGTTCTCAGCTATAATGCATTATGTGCATTTTAAGCAAGATGTTATAGAGTACAACCATTACCCATGGTGAATAATGCCACCGACTCCAAAAACTGTTAAATTTTGTGACTAATACACTGTTATTCCTTATCTGATTAAATATCAGATACGTTGTACATTTCACGTAGATCAAAATAACCCTTTAGAGCGTATCATTAAAATTAATATCTTAGATGATATCAGATTTAAAAGGCGGGGGCAGAGATGCTGGCGGGCCGTACATTCGTCATAAGTGTTGTTAACTTTATCGCTTGAGAGAAGTAGCCAAAAATCACTGTTTCTTACCTCTGATGATGATCTTTTTCTGGTCCTCCTTATTATGAGTATTGCTGCTAACGCCTGAGAGCATGGTGTCCGAAATAGTTCTGTCTGACCTGACCTGTTGGACATTCTGTGTAAGTATCAAAAAGAATTTATAACATACACAGCATAGCTAATCATGTAAATATAATAAATCTCCTATCAGTTTATATATGTGCTTATGCACATTGTTTTATGAAGCATTATTGCTTCATAAAACTGCCTACTGGTATAATGTATGATTAAATTTTGAGACGTAGATCCAATATGCAAAGTTAAAATACTGCAGTTTCTTGAAGATTCTTTTTCGGTTAAATGGAATATGCATTAGTTCAGATAGTTAAAATTTAAGGCAAAAAATCGTCAAACACACAAGAAGTGAAATAGTTCAATACTTGATACTTATTTTGCTAGAATTATAGCATTTGAATATTATTGTGAATTGAAATCATGGTTAATTTAAAGTTCGTTTTTCTCAACACCCGGATAGTGTTTTAAAGTATATCTGCCTTAGCAATAATTTTAAAACAACTTTCACACGGATTTATTACAATTCGAAAGTTATAATCCGTGAGCCCGTATTATAAACATTTTTGGTAAGATTCTTTATATAGTATTATTATACAGGGAGGCTTTTCTAAGTGTATCCATTTTTTTAATTAAATTCTGCACATAAATAATGTTATATAAAAAATGAAATATATTTTAAATCACTCGTAAGTAATTAATTACATTCATTTGAACTTGTCCCAAAAAGTGAGTTTGTGTGTGTGAACAGTAAAATTTAGGTATTTATGAATGACTACCGCGTTGTCGACAAGTTCTGTTTTTTAAGGAATAGAATGGTAATATTTTAGAAAAAAAGTTTGTTTTTATTTCAATAAACGATTGTACTACCGAGTCTGAACCTCCTGTGTGAATTTGGGCACCTTTAAAGTAGTTATTTGTATAAGTGTAAGATCTAGTTCATGAAAATGTGTCCCAATATAATCTAAGAATTTTTTATGTATTTATTGCTAGCTACATGTGCATTTATTTTAGAAATTGTAGTACAGTACCGTTAAATGAAAGAAAAATACATTATATTCCCCATTGCAAAGCGAGGAATTTTTAGAACATCGATTGCAGGAGTATGCTAAACTAATAACAAGCGTCCGGACACCGCGGTGTCTGTATCTATAATATGATGCCATATCACAAATTCTTTTGATTATATAAAGATGAATTCCATCTAATTCCTCTTCATTGTTAGATTTTCAAATGCGGATTAGGATCAATAAAGAAGGAAGAATCTAATAATGGCAATTTTAAATAACTAATTTGAAAAATTTATTGAGATGGAATTCATCTTTAAATAAAGAATCTTTAAATGAAGAAAGACCAAGAAATGGAGAAGGTGCATGATTGTGGTGATTCTTGCGAATGTCCACGTCTCGTCTAGAGAAAATTTAATCGGCTTATAAGATTGGACGTCGAATGCAACTCACCAATTCGCCCAAAAAACTTATATAACCGATTGCCAGTTTCAGTGTGTCCACTTTAGACAGGCGTTTCTCGTAAGGCAACGTTGGTATGTGAGCTCTGAGGCCCTCGAAAGCGTCGTTAATCGACTGCATTCTGCGGCGCTCGCGTAGATTGGCAGCCTGACGCTGCTGGATCTGCTGCTGTGGGCACCGTGAGCGTCGCTTATGCAGCCGCCTTATACCCGACCTACAAGCAGATTTTCGCTCATTTCCATTTACTAAAATACTGGCACGGTGTTAAATGTCTGCTGCCTCATGTAGCCAGACAGTGTTCTTTGGTTCTATAGGCATTGTCCTTTATTAATACGATTGTCCTTAATATTAATGTTTTATATTTAAACTTTGATAATGTGTAAACACTAACATAATGACAAAACACTAGCAACGCCATTAATATTTCTATTAATAATAAACTATACTTACTTGACTCGTAATAAAGAAAACAAGTTTTCTGTTGTCACTATTCCGTGGTATTTGATCAAGTTATCTTTAATTGAATTTTGTATTGACCAGTAAAATTTAAAACGTGTGTGAACAACGATGTTACAATTGAAATCAAATTCGCAATAGCAAAACATGGAAATGAAACAGACCAACAATAACAGGAGCAACAAAACAACATAAAGTTGTATGTTTAACTTTACTTTATATCTATATATAATTTAAAGAAGTCTTTGGTCTATCTCTATTATATTAATACTACTTCATGACACCAAATATGATGCCATATGAACCATATAACTGTTAATTAATAATCGTTCCTAAGAATTTTGTAAAAGGTACTTGAAATTTTTCTTACACTTGAGCAATTAGAAATTTATCTTTTTAAAAGATTATTCCACTAAAAAAATATTTTTCCAAAGAAATTCGACAACGAGCTTTGATTCGTTCATCATGAGTAATAAGTCACATTTCATTTTTTTTCCTTATAAAAGTAGTTCGTTTTATGATTGGAACTAAATTATTTTCAATACACCAGGAGTTCTAGAGTGCTTCTTTAGTATACCTACATATCTTTAAAAGAATGTCTGTCTTTATTTTTCTAAATGATATGATGATATTTATAAATTAAATCAATTATTCGTGATTCTTAAGGAAATTATTTTAAAAAATACATTCGCTCGAATGACACACAGTATTAAGCACGTTTTACTTACTGAATCCTTAAAACAATTATTCGCTTTTCATTTTAATATCAAATGATATTAATTTATTCAATATGAAAAAAAATATCTCTGACCTTTTCCGAGGTGTCGACAGATTTTCTTGATCACTCGCGTAGAGGCTGCCGTCGGACATGGACGAGTCATCGTAGAGGAAAACGTCTGAGCCGTTAGCCGACGTTGGTGAGCCATCCAGCGCTATCGGCACAACACTGTTGTTTTCTAACTCTGGGTATCGCCCCAAGTTAATACCATCCATGTTGAACATTTTAACTAATTCTACATCACATGTTTTAATACTAATTTACAAGCTGTCACCGAGCCTTTTCGTAGCAAACTCCGAAGCACAATGAGGCCAGAGGGTTGTACGTAGAGGGCTCAAACTCGAATGCGAAGTAACCCCGCCCATTTGTGTATCTCCGCCCACGAACCTTCCCCGACCATTTTTATAAGAACCGTGGAAAATCAATGCACCATTTATTTCTCCGTTAAATGACACTTTACGTATGATAAGTTAAACCTAAGTTATTTTTATCGTTGGTTTTTCTTTTCACAACATCAATCATTTGCAAGATAAATATTGGAACCAACAATAATTAATATACTGTATTTGATAACAGAATTTTATTATTAATTATTATGTTAGAATTTTGGTTTACTAAAATTACTTATAAATATAGAAGTTCGTTATTGCCTTTTTTTTAAGTTTTTACAAATAGTCTATCTCAGAATTTCTCTTACTTTTGAAATTTCAGCCTCAAATATCAAGTCAACAAACGTTTATTATTACGATTTATTGAAGAATGATTCAAATGTATTGTATTGAGGACGATTACCATTTCGATATTATTGGACTGATGCCCATTGCGAAAATTAATACCGGAGATAAAGCACTTTAAAAAAAAACTTCTGGAGATTTCCATGCTAAGTATTGTGGGTAGTGTTATTATTACCTACTATCTAAGCCGTAATAGTCAAGCATTGTGGGAACCGGAGATCGTTTTATATATATCTCCAGAACAGAATTAAGGCTAACTTTTTATTCTATCGTTAAAATAACGTGGAATGTTATCTGCAACCGCTTCTTTGTGCCTAGAATATCTCGCTGACACGGTCGGCAACATGGTATTATGTTTAACAGCTTTGTCTATAAAAACTATACGCTTTGTTAAGAAACTTGTATTTTTCGATTAAATTTAATTGGTACAAATAAAAATATTTTTTATACAATTACATTATGCCGATTTAATACGTTATCCTACCTTAATCCTAAAGATGGATGTTTTAGGGTATTTTTGTCATGTGGTCGTGTCACACAACCTTCTATCTGTCTTAAGGACATAATATCTAGGCTATAATATTTTATTTTTTATTGAATAAATTGCATATTTTTCTACGATGTTTATTTTCAATACACTATTACCGTTAAATCACGTCTTCTTACTTGGCCTTCTTTGTACGGGTAACTAATTTTTCTAGCCTGCTGCCGAGAGGCCAAGAGACCCGGGAGAGCCACTGCTAATAAGGGAAAAACATCCCTAGCCTATGGATCTGGTCTATAATTCCACTTTTCACCATGTCTCGACCGCTGAGAGTAGGTTCTCTGCACATAGCTATCTTGATACTCCTCTCCCCTCGCGGACAAAAATCAAAATCATTTACTCATCGACATAAGACACTTACATTTCATCTATCGATAGTCATATTTTTTTTCGATTATTATAATTTTTCTGGACCCACCAGCACAACATACGCAGGGTTGTCCCGCTTTTTTTAACGATGTCAACAGTAGGTATAGTTACCCGGCGCAGTTACCTCAGCTCAAGTAAAGTGATCCCGGGCCATAGCTAATGTGACATTTACAATCTCAAGTGCACCACTTACGTCTCTCATCAGGTGAAATTAAAAGGTGTAGGTTTGCCTGTGGTTTTTCTTCGGCCAATAAATATTTTGTCGCTTTGAAATCAACAACCAGGTTTGAGAAAAGGAATTTCGTGGAAATCATTACAACGAAACTAACTGACAAAAATTTGAGATATAATGTGATATAAAACCCCGGAAAGGATACAATCATCCTAGAAAGCCTTTATGGGAACTTTCGATCATACGTGCTACGACTAAGGCCATTGGTCATTGAAATGTATATCGAGCGGATCATGGTGGTAAATGGTCACCGCTTCAAATTGTCGATAAGCCTTAGAAGGCTGTTTTTGATATATATAATGGAGGAATATGTTACATATTATAGAGGTTATCCTCTATTATATGTTACATATAATAGAGGATATCTCCATCACACACTGCTTTCTGTAGTTGGCGAGAAATCTAAAATTAGAGGATTAATCCTTCAAGTACATCACCTGACGAACCTAATTGTGACTCTAATAACTCTTAGGAGGACAATGGAATTTCAAAACGGCTTTTAAGCTACACTCGATACGATTGCCCGAGAGAGTTTTTAAATTAAACGAGACTACTTGTCGAACTGTCGGTTTCAATTTCAAGTTGACGGTGTATTATCCTACGTCTAGTCAGGGCACCCTCGAATCAGAATGCTAAACGTGTGTTGAGTGACAGCCCAAGCCGACCCATGAGCCTGATGACTCCATGGAGCGCCCGCCAAAGCGCCCTAAGAACTTGGCGGCCTCTCAAACCGGTGATAATAATAGCGTGACGGCCTGAGCCGAGGCTCCCTTGGGAGCCCTCGAGTTAAGTCACCATAACGCGTAATAATAATACGCTGAGGTTCAGGCTAGGCGCCCGGTGTGCCAGGCCATCTCAAGTCCTTCGGAACTGTGAAGGCTAACAGTGGCTTATCCAGCTTAAAAAAAATATCCTACGTTCACTGAGACCAGCCTAAGCCTAGGACCCTCTGGACCTACTTACTCCGTCTGCCTATATTTGATTATATCTAGAAGAGTTCCGCTATCAATCGCGGTCGAAAACGAGGTTAAATTATCCATTTAGGGGTCCGTGGATTGTGTCGTGTCATCACTTTTAAGTCATATTGTTTAGCAGGCAATGATATTTTAGACTATAGATATTTTATACGCATACAAATTCAACGTCTAAAATGTTCTTATTTCCAAAAATAGTGACAGCACAGATTCACATGTTTCGTTCGAAAGGTATATACAGGATATCGTAATTAAAGCAATAAGAAAATCAAATCAAAATCAAAATCATTATTCATCGACGTAAGAAAAATACATTTCAATTAATGATAGTCATTTTTTTTCTACCACCCTTTCGTAATGAGGTTCCTCTAACGGAGAAGAAACAGGCGAAAGAAACAACATTGGTATCCTCATTTTTTGTCAATTTTTTTTCAACAAAATTAAAATATGCAAAAAATTTGTTCTTTTAGAAATTGCTGGGAGTGATCAACTCATTCCCAGGGGTTATTGTCATTAATGTATTCATTTATATTATAACACTTTTTATAAAGTTTTTCTTTAGTAAATTTCTTAAACCTGTTGATAGGCAGGCTTTGCGCATTTACTTTACTGGGATTTTGTTGTAGAAACGTATACATCGCCCCATGAACGAGTTACTTACTCTATGGAGTCTAGTAATTGACGTTACAAGCTTGTGTTTGTTCCTAGTATTTACATTATGAACATCAGTATTCTTACCAAAATTATGAATATTTCTACGTACATACATTACATTTTCATATATATATTTATATATATATATATATATATATTGAGAGGCCAAGGTTAATATATTTATTTCTTTAAATTTCTCTCTCAGAGATACATTCAAGTCTAGATTATAAATTTCTCTGGGATTTCTCTCTCATTATAAATTGTTTCTATATCGGCTGCGTGCCCCCATTACAAAATACTATATGACATTATGCTATGGAAATAACTAAAATAAACAATTCTAGCTGTTTTAACGTGAGTTAGACATCTTATTTTCCTAATAGCATACGGAGCAGAACTTAGTCTATTGGCAAGTTTGGATATATGGGGGCCCAATTGAAGTTTTGCACGAAAAACGAGGACGACAAGTGTCACTTTAGCTTAAGTGTAAAAAAATCTCGAGGTGCATCCGTCTTTCTCGTCCCCGAATTAAACATATTTGCTATTTCTTTCTTTGTTTGCCACATAAAAGACCCCAATTGAGACTTTTTGTGGCTTCACTCTGGGCGCTCTACCAACATATCTGTAGTAGTATAAAATATCGTTGTGAACCGTATTTGTGAAGATCCAGCGGAGGGGATGGCGTGATTGTCGTGCACCAGCTACGTTGCTTAGATTCCGCTGATCCCCCGATTCCTTGGAGGGGTCTGCAGGTAGATGACCGGCAGAAGGTGAAAAAACTCACCTTCAATGATAATATGGAATAATATTTAAGTGCCAACACTTTTAATATTAAAAAATAAAAATAGACTAGGGATGCCGAAAGCCGAAAAAATATCGATATTTATAAAAATATCAATATCGCCTCGATATATCGAAAAAAAATATCGATATATCGGTCAAATTTTCAGTTTTAAAAAACTTATGTAAATACATAAGTTTTTTAAAACTGAAAATTAAAAAAAATTCTATATTCTAATATTTTTTAAATAATTCTTTACTTTACTTATGTATTTTTTTTTAATTTAATTCTTTAGTTCTCCTCTTCAATAATAAATCATATTAATTTTTATACCAAGTTCACATTATGTAAATGAATGAGAAATTTTAGTAAAACATTAATTATTTATTAACTTTAATCAAATTTCTTTTATTAATCTAAATTTCTAAGTACTTACATTATTTATCAAAACCTTCATTGGGAAAAAACAAAGAGCTTATTTCGTAAGATAAATCAGTTTCTTTAGCCCTGAATCGAATCAAAATAACTAATTAAAAACATGTAACTTTGTAAAAAAAAAAACATAAAGAATTGGTTAAAACGAAGTTAATACTGGGTCAAAAAGAAACCCGCAGAGACTTGTCCTAAGAGACAGGCCTAGATCGACAGAATTTAGTAAAAGTTGTTTGATTGACATGAAAATGCTGAACGATAAGTTAAAGATGTTACGCATGTATTTAAATGACAATAATTTTTATGGCGTTAAATAATTTATTTTATGTAAACTCGATATTACAATAAGTGGCTTTAAATTATAGCTAATTTGATTATAATTAAATTTTTGTTAACTTTATTTACAGATTAAATTAAAGTAATTAGATTAAACTTTAGTTGATGACATTAATATTTTGCATGCTATTTATTATTATAATTAACATAGTATGTAGTTCAATATTAATGATTTGTAACACCTTTATACCATGTTGAACCTAAGATATGGATAGTATAAAGTACGAAGCCTCAAACTGTAGTATAAATACCATAATTATAGTACAAAATGCAACTCTGCATTCGCGACAATACTAGTAATAGGCCACAGTTTTTTTTCGTTAATTTTTATCTTTTACGGCTTTGAATCAGTTTGAATAATAATATAGTTTTTGATACGATTTCGATATTCTATTTTTTATATCAATATAAAAAATTTCATATATCGGATCAAAATATATCGGCCAAAAATATCGACATATCGATATTTTTTCCGAAAAATATCGGAATGCCGAAGGAAATATCATCGATATTTTTTCTTCATCCCTAAAACAGACATTTGACAGTTGTCAAATGTCAATAGTAAATGACAATAGAAAGAATTAATAACAAATCCAAAGACGGCGTTTAATATTCATAAAAACTTTTATTTTATTAAAAATGTTTATTGTTGGGCTAACTGGTGGATTAGCTACAGGGAAAAGTACTGTACTTTCAATATTTCGAGATAATAATGTGGCTGTTATAGATGCCGATGAAGTCGCTAGGAAAGGTACTATTTAATACAATTCTTCGTACTTTAACAACTACCTTTGTACTTAACAGCAGGTTCTACATGGTTATATTTGATCTTTATTATTAAATTTATACAAGACATTAAAATTCTTTAGACAGACAATAGAAAAATAGGTCACAACATGGACATAGGACAATAGTCACATAAATTGTACACAGTTGTTAACTGATAAACAATATTATTTTTTAATTTCAGTTTTAGAACCAGGTACAAAAGCGTGGAAAGAATTAAAAGAGTACTTTGGTGATGAAGTTTTGTACCCAGATGGTAAGGTTAACCGGCTTAAACTTGGTGAAATAGTGTTTGACGATATTGAGAAAAGGCGAAAATTAAATGCCATAACACATCCAAGAATTCAAAGAGCCATGATGAGCATAGCAATGATGTACTTTTTCTCAGGTCATAAGTATATTGTCATGGAAGTGCCATTATTATTTGAAACAGGAAAAATGTTGACATTCATGCACAAAATTATTACAGTTGTTTGGTTAGTTTTTAATAATATATTGCAAATGCATTTACATTATTAAAATATGTATAACATATAAGTGTAGAACATCTTATGGTATTTTTTTCTTTATTCCACTTTTAGTCAGACTTTAGTAAAGTAATAAGTGTGTTTAAAATTAGTATAAATATTCTGAAACAAACATTTTAAGAACTCACCTTTATTGCAGTGATGACCACCAACAATTAGAGAGATTATGCAAACGTAATGACTTCTCTGAGGTTGTTGCAAAAAAAAGAATTAGTTGTCAGATGCCCCTTGAACAAAAAGTGGCCAGGTCTCATTTTGTTATTGATAATTCAGGTGATATTGCTGGTACGGTCCAGCAAACGGAATGCATAATAAAAATGTTGAGAAGATCTAAGTTTACTTGGTAAGTACAATTTGTTTTAATTCTAATAAATGTAATTTAAAACTATTATTGTTTTAAATGCCAACAAGTAAAACAAAAGGTTCGAGCAGCATTATTTGTATGTACATTATATGAAGATTAATTAATGCAGTTTACCTAAACAGAAAATATAAAAAAATAACCTTCAAGTTGCTATTCTTCTAAACTGCATGTCTGAAGTGAATAAATATTACTTAATTACTTCTGTATTAATAAGGTAACTTGAAATGACTTGAAATGATCACACTCTCCTTCTTTACTAAATGACCCCCATGATTCCTTACTAAGTGATTTAAAGAGACCCCAAAATATGATAAATAATCCGTTCCATTTAATATATTTTTTCAATATCTTCTTTGCATTAGTTCCTTGTAAACTTACTTCCCGAGTAAACAAATTAAAGAAAAATTTATTAAAGTCAAAATAATTATTTTAAATTAATTTAAATTTACATTTAATTTCTGTTTTTGTCTTAGTTCATAAAATAAGTAAAATTTATACTCTAATACTTTTGTTGTTGTCTTTTCAGGTATTTTCGGGTAATAATAATGATTGCCTTTATGTCGATAACATTTGGTGTTGGTCATATAATTAATAAAACTATTAATTATAACACATAATTACTACTCATTCTACTCAAACATAAAATTTTAAATTCTTTTGGATTGCATTACACTATTTTTTAGTTCAATTACTCAACAACAGTTCTTGCTGGTATTAAAAATCGACGATTGTTAATATCCAAGGACTTAATCAAACTTAAATGAATTTAATGACTATTTTTTGAAAACCCTAATAATCATCTGTGAGAATGAAGACTTATAACTATATGTTGCAGTTTTATATGTATGGGTGCTCTAAGATTGTTTTGGAAAATTTAATAACTCAGAAATTATTGATGTTTAAAGACACTAAATGTTTAATACAATTTTAAAAAGTTATCCTCTATGTGTGTTGATTTATGGTCGCGATAGTAGCAACACATTGTATATTAAATAATGTTTCAGATCAGATCTCAAAGTAACTTTTGTAAAAGTTTATATGGCACTAATGTAAATTTGAATAACCATAAGATATAGAATAATTATAATTCTTTTTAAGGCAGATAGCCTAAGCGTCTCAAATATCTTGAATATTTACAACAAAACCCATGACCAATAATGTCAAAATTAGTCTAATTACCAGTAATAAAGTAGTATTTATTTTTAATCAACATAGTATGTAAGTTCAAGTGTAGTATGTAAGTTATAGTGAGTAGTATGTAAGAAAATGTAAGTAACAATCATCAAAAACAAAATTCTTTTAACTGTGCTAAGCCACACAACATGCTTATTAAATCTCTTCAGTGTGGTAACAGGGCCCACTTATTTTTAAAGTTGCAGGTACATAGTGTTGGCTACGTACCTGTAACCTATCTCGGTAAATTAGATGTCTATGGGCGGCGGTCACTTTACGTCACGCCACAAATGGCCTACTCACCAGCTATTTATACATTTTGATTTAACTGAATCCATAGAGACGGAAATATTATTGTTTCCATTATTTCACTTGTTTCGCATATGAAATAAATTTAGTCATTTCTTTTGTGATAATTATTTATATAAATAATAAAGGAAGTGTCTAGTCCATTGGCCATTTAATAATATTGAAGCCCTACTTAAATTTTTTTTAGTATTTGTTGTTATAGTGTCAACAGAAGTACTTTATGTGGCAAAAATTCAAATATCTAACTACCACAGTTGATGAGACAGCCTGGTGACAGACTGTCTCATGAAGAAGAATTCGGTGCGGAACCCTAGGTACTCGTGCGCGAGTCAGACTCAGCTTCCATATGAAATAAATTTAGTCATTTCTTTTGTGATAATTATTTATATAAATAATAAAGGAAGTGTCTAGTCCATTGGCCATTTAATAATATTGAAGCCCTACTTAATATTTTTTTATAGGTTTTTTTACAACTAACAACAAACGTTTTGAGACAGCCTGGTGACAGACTATATAAGAATACTAATATTAGAACATCAAATTAATATATATATATAAATATACATATACAATCTTCCAAATCACGTCTTTCTTTCCCACGGTCTTTTTTTAGGCCGTGGTACTGCCCTGAACGAGCTTACCCATTCCAGCAACAGCAAAGACTGATGCAGTATATAATAGGTTGGGGAAAAATGTTCTTTGCATACCAAAGTATGTAGGTGCCATTTTGTTTGATATAGAAATTCTGGGGATTTTGTTCAAAAAACAAAGTGGTTTTTGGCAGTCTTCTCGTGATATTAACCTGACACTGCCTAAAGAATTCTTAAGAGACCAAAACAAGTGGAAATCTGAAGGTGTAAGGTCAGGACTATACAGCAGATGCATTAACACCTCCCAGCCAAACTCTCTAATTTTTGCTGAGTGGCTACAGATGTGTGAGGTCTAGCAATACCATGATGAAAAACCCCGCCTCTTCTGTCGATTCATTCCGGCCGCTTTCCCTCAACTTCTTCCCTTAATTTCATCAGTAGTCCTCAGTAAAGTTCAGAATCAATGGTCTTGCCTGGCAGTAACAGTCTATAATGAATAATGCCCTTCCATTCCCACCACACACACAGCATTACCTTGTTGTGAGATAACCCGGGTTTCGCCAGTCTATGAAGCCTGACCAGCCTTTGACCTTTTTCCCACGTTATTGTCGTACGTGATCCACTTTTTACCACCAGTTATCAGGTTTTTCAATTTTTTCAAACATGTTTTAGGTCAGCAACATCATAACAAAAAGTAAATTTTGGGTTTGCGACTATTTTTAGTTTTGATTACTGCTTGAACTCAGTGAACCCCGAAGAGGTCTACTGGCGACCATTTACAACACTTTACTCTCCAGTTGTTTCTTTCCAAGAGTTTACAAAAATGGACACATTCCGGACGACTAGAAAGAAGTCACGGTTATCGGCATTTGCAAGCCGAATAAAGCAGCCAACCGGCCTTCTAGTTATCGTCCCATCAGCCTCCTCAGTTGCCTGGGAAAGCTCTATGAGCGGCTTTTATTAAACAGGCTCAATGAGCACGTGTTTTCCAACGGCCTTCTGCCGGCGGAACAATTCGGCTTTCGAGCTAGACATTCCTGTCTAGGTCAACTATTCCGCCTAACATGTTCCGTTAATCCTAAAAGGCGTAAATCACCCTAAACATATTAGTAAATGGGCTCTTTTCTTCGATGTCGCAAAAGCATTCGACAAGGTCTGGTACAACAGCTTGCTTTGCAAGCTCAAAGTCAAAGTGCCAGATCGTACACACCATCGGGGCCTTCCTGTTGAATCGCTCTTTTCGATATCGAGTCGAGGGAACCTTCTCTACAAGCCGCCGCCTCACGGCTGGCGTTCCACAAGACTCCTGCCTCTCACCTTTGCTCTTTACGCTCTACACGAGCGACTTACCCAAAGACCCCCACGTCAATCTCGCGCTTTTCGCAGATGACACGGTGCTCTTTTATTCAGATCGAAACCTCCGTCAACTACTAGTTCGCCCTCGGCTCCGAGCACGGGGAGACCAACACAACGCGTACACAAGGTACACCCGCGTTCCGGGGCGGTCTCACCGCTCCCTGCCACCGATTAGCTAATTGCACAGTCGACGGCTATCGGGTTTTCGGTCCGAACCGCGGCCTCGATGGCCCTTAGATGACACACCTTAGTTAAACGCACGCATAAGCACATGCCCAGCTCTACCCACAGCGGAGCCCCAAACCCGTGGGTTCTGACTAGCCCACCGGTTCTGCTTCAGATGAAGCTTTAATAGTCTCGGGATTGAAAGCAAAAACATCAGTTAATACAAGAAGACTTTTTAATTATGAAATTAAACTGAAAATATTTCTTTCTCTTCACTCGAGGTTTGTTCTTATAATATGTATACATCGATGCCTGATTTAAAAAAATAACTAAATTTTAACTTAATTAATGAAATAAACGGTTATAACTTTATGTACAAGTAAATAGGTAAAAAATTAATTTAGTGTTTTTCCGTTAAGTTTGTGGGCGGCGCTTACAATTCGAAACATTTGAACATCGACTATTTATTGCAGATGCAGAGAACGTCTAGATGCGTGATTTGGAAACTGCAGGATCGACTCTTGGCAGCGGTGGAAATTATGCAACAGTTTTATCTACATATTTTTTAAGTTTCATATTAAATGCATATCCAAACGCGTAATTAAAATTGGCCCACGCACCAACTTAACGGAATAATTGAAAAATTCTAATTTATTTGTTTAGTTTATAATTAAACACTTAATAATTCAACATACAATGCGATTCAAATAAAAATAGGAATGACCTCGTGCCATCTTTTGACGTCATATCTGTCAATTCATACTAGGTAGGATGAACAAAACAGATGTTTTTGATATAAAATTTAGTTACAAATACGTTTTGTACTTAAAGTATGAAAGAAAAAGTTTTAATCTGAATTTAGAACTTCAATTCCTCACATTTCTGGATTGTGCACGATGTCTACTCACATAAATCGTCGACATTATCATTATCATCACGCAAAACATCTTGTTCACACATGTATTGCGTAATGACGATGATCACACACTCGAAGTGAAGCCACTAGAAAGTCCCACTTAATACGTTTCGTCTTTAGTTTACTGAGAGTAGAGAGAGTGTCAAAATTTTACAACAATAAAAATCGTTTCTGTGTCTTTAAAAGATGTACTTAGTGTGACTCTAAAATTAAAATTCTATGGATCTCATATCACGTACATAAATGCAATATAACTTCGATTTATCAGTATATTTTAATTATTTTCCTGATGTTTTCATTTATGTAGGGTTTTGTGGAAAATAAAGAAAAAGAGAGCCAATAAGTTTTATAAGGGGACGAGAAAGATGGTTGCACCTCTAGATTTCTTTACACTTACGCTAAAGTGTCAACACTAAGAAAAATGAGCACGGCAAGTCCTCTTGTTTTCTTATTGCATTAATTACGTTATCCTTCTTATACCATTCGAATGAAACGAAAGGAAATCGGAACATTTTCGAACGGTAATTTTTTAAACGTATTGAATGTCATTGTGATTTCCCCTAAAAAAAAGAATAGAACATGTTCCTAAAAAAACATCATTTATGATGACTGACTATAATTAAAAAAAGGCACTTAGAAGGTAACTATAATAAAACTAAAGCTATCGTCGCCGTAAATAGAAAACAAAACATTGATATTATTTTTAAAATTAATCATGACTTCAGTTTATTTGGTAACACTTTTAATATACATATAAAAAAAAGGTTTTAAGCGAAAAAGTTATTTTATTTGCAAGCCGTATTTTTCAAATGACAGTTGACAGATCGCGAGTCATTCAAGGCTATTTACGTTCCTATTCTTTTTAAACCAGTAGAAGCAGACGAAACATTGACACAGACATAGATAAGACATAATTATGTACTGAAACGGACACAGGCCTTCTTATCTTCAAGTGGCGGCTGCGTTTGATGATAATACACAGCAGTCGTGAATAGCCTTATTAATTATCATAATAAAATGAAAGTAAACTAATTACAGTGACAGAATTATTTTTTATAGTTTAATGTTTTTTAGGAAGACATTTCAATTTCATTAAACGGAAACCGATGAACTCTCCTAAATCTATATTTTGATGTATCTGAATTGTTTCCAGTGGTTTCAGATTTTGTGGTTATTGTCTCCTGTACTGTAGTGGTAATTTTAATTTCTGGTTCTGGTAAATCGGACTGAACTGTTTCAAATGTACTGCTAAGTGGATTATAACTGTATGAACCAAATATTGCACTGAAATAAATCACAAAAATGTATATATCAATAAGGTTTACTTTTAGTTTCAAAGCTGAGCTACAAATTTATTGCAAAAAATATATTATTAATAAAACATATTAATGTAGAGCAACACCAATTTGGCACATCGTCGTAGCTAAATTGTATTTATTTCGATAAAAAATCAAACTAATCCGAACTATAGGGACCGGCAAGTTCAATTTGAATAAAACGCGTCATAGGGGAACAAAGTTCTGCGCATGTTGTGCCATGCCCTTTCTTGCAACCAATTACTTTAGCTTTCACGGTCATTTTTCCCTGCTACTCATCTTGAAGAGACCAGTGATTTCTGTTTCTGTTTCTGCAACTTTTATTATCATTAATCGGAATATTATGACGGTGTGCAATGTATCGTGTGTGCGATAACCAGTAATACTTGTTGGCTATAAAAGCGACCAAACCATATTTCATAAAATATAACTTACCTTTTACTAAGTTTATAGGTAGCTGAATATGTTATATCCCCATATACGATCATCGAGAACCATATAGGCAGGTACGGAGGGAAATGCTATGAAAATTTATACTCTATTGTTTACATATATGACCGACTCTGCGAGAGATCAACTCTACTTATTAAATATAAGTAGAGTTTTACGTTTATTATCTCGCGTTAAATTTATTTTTTAAATCGGAGTTTTTTTTAATTATTTTATCCTTTTTCAATTATTTTTTCCGTCGAGGGTTTATCCAAAATTTTTAATTTTTGTTTTATGTTAATAAAAATGTATACTTATTATTAATAGAGCAAGATCGTACTTTTTTAAACCGTCTTCAATGACGAAACGTGGCAGCAATTCACCGATCACCCAATTGAACCTGAAATTAGTACAGTTATAATTACTCACAGTCATTCCGATATAGTGTTATAAAATAATGGGTCAATTCTTACTTTGTGAAGTTGAAGAGTACAATTGTATGCAGCAACATGCAAATGATCATTGTTGTTACGCACGGCTTATCAAATACAAAGATTTGAAACTACTTGTTTCCAGCAAATCAATGGAGTTTACCAATAACATTTGATTTTATAACTGTTTTATTTTAGTTTATAAAATAACAGTAATATAAATATGAGTTGGGCAACGAGCCTTGAAATGTTTTTATTTAAGTACCTAGATATTTAAATCTTATCTTACTTTTTGTACAAATGCTAATGCAAATAAAGCACTATAAAAAAATTGTTTGTATGCTGGAAAGGATATCTTAATCTAAATTTAAAGGATATCTTATCCTTTAAACGAGCAATTCTTGCATATATATATATATATATATATATATATATATATATATATATTTCATGACTTGTTTGATCCAGCAAAATTAAAAGAGTACTTTGTTGATCCACCTTTCTGTTCAAATTTACTTGCCCTTAACCTTTATTTTACAGGACGGAAAGCATATATTTGAACAGCGTATTGTGTCGCTTAGACATATTTCTAAATTCAGCAATATACTCCAGGCGTTGTTTTATACTTTTCCAAAGTATTTGTGGCTCCGCGTAACGGTTTTTTCTCAGGCACTTTTTAAACATTTCTTGATCCCTGTGAGCGCGCATACGCAGCTCGACGTCAGTGTTCGTAAAATTAATTTCACAGTGTTTGTAATAAGAACTGAATTTCCAGGTACATTTTCTATTGAGTAAACTGTTACTATATGTCGAATATAATAACCTACATAAATATAATTGACAAAGAGATGGTTATAGCCTATTTCTTGTTAATTAGTTTACCATAGGATGCTAGTGAATAAATAATTTAATTTTGTAGACATTATCGCTTGATATTAATGAATTCTTGAGACATTCTCAAAATACCTACTTACTATAAAGTGTATAGTTTTGTTGTTATGCTTGTTAGCACATGCGACCTGTATTAATTCGATTGAGATGAAGCCCAAAATGCTGTAAATGCCCAAAATTTAAACAACTGGCGCGGCGGCGAACTATGAGCTCAAAGAAAATCATACATATAATAAAAATTTTACTGATTGTTGTTTGTACATGGAAGATATTTGAGAAACACTATTATTAGGAACCTTTATCAACGCAGTAGAACCCAAAACAATGACAGTTAAAATTATTGTCTGTTTATCTGTTTGTCTGTGTGCGCTAACTTGGCTAAAACGGCCTTTCCGATTTCAGATCAACTTTTACAAATGCATTGTAGTAAGCTTCTCTTAACATTTATTGTTAGTTTTATTTAAGTCGGATGATAAATAACGTAGTTATATCAACTTAAAGAACCACATTGTAGATTTGTGCGATGAAACTATAGTTAACTATGGTCTGTAAAATGATGGTTTATATAAAGTTTAAAAAAATCGCCCAAGTGCGAGTTGGAGTTGCGCACAAAGTGTTCCGTAGGTATTTTTAAGCACGATATAATGTGCGGGCGAAGCCGCGGGCGCAAGCTAGTTGTACAATATATTGCTACTATTGCACTAGGAAACGGATCAACAACGGTCGCAATGTAATGCGACAAATGTAGTGCGAAAATTTCTGTAAAGAGACGAGGATGACAATATTTTAGTTTTATTTTAAATGTTTGTTTACAAGTCATTGCTCAACTCATTATCAAATATGAGTTTGGTTACAAGAGAATAAATTATTATTATTTGTTATGTAATCAATAGTGTTATTTAAGCTAGTGCTATTCAGTGGGTACGGAACTCTTAAAGATTATTTAAACCTAAAAAAATAAAATATTAAGGAATAAAAAATATAGTTCTTTCTAGACACATGAATAAATAATAATAAGACGAAAAAAAATTAAGATTATTTCTATGTAGTCTAACCCAGAATATTTTTGTCACTTCTTGAAAGAGTTTAGAAAAGATTGCCAAAAAAATTCTAATTTTTCATTGTTTTATTATCAATCTAAGGCATTGAAATATGAAAAACGTTAATAAATCAATCAAGATTTTTTTTAAATTTTTTGTTTATTCTGTTCCTGTAAAAAATTACTTGAATTTTTAAAATAATTATTATAAATAAATACATTGTTAATAAGATTTTAAATTTTTTTCTTTTTGGAATATGATGCTTAATGAAAATATGACATTTAAGAAAGACATTTTTCACTGCTAAAAACGCTTTTTCTAAATTACAATTTTTTGTTGCTTAGTGTTAACATTATGGAGAACCATTTTATTAAAATCATAATTTATCACGTTGTTACATCATAAACAAAAATTAATTTAATTCATTTTTTATTTGGTTTTGTGAACAGACGCTTGTTTATAAACAAACGAATTACGAAAAATTTTGTTTATTATTTTTCTGCTTTTTTATATAATTTTTAAAATTATTGTACACTTGGACTTGTTGTTACCTATCTCCAGGTATCTAGGTATTCTCCATTGCTATTAAAATTACTTATAAACTATTCAAGATACGACTAGAACACTCCAAGTCTTATTTATTCTTCAACATTATTTTTTAAATATTGAAGTAGAAGACATTCATTTTATACATGAATTAAATAATTAACTGTTGAGTATTGAAACCAATATTTTTTTTATTAATTATTATATGTAAATTCTTAAATAATCTATCACGCGCAACGAATTTACTTTAAAATATAATTTAAATAAAATATAATTTAAAATAAAATTTGCTGGCCCTTTAAAGCATGTATTTCAACAAATATCACATTCACGAGATACAGTAATTCTTCTTAATAAGTAGGCACTGACGTAAAGTGATGATTTCAACCAATGAATGCTGCTGTGATCTACAAATTTAAGCGGATCAACAAAAAACTGATCATACGTAACGCTGGATCAAACAACTCCTAGAACGGATAACTATATATATATATATATATATATATATATATATATATATATATATATATATATATATATATATATATATATATATATATATATATAAATAAATATAAAAATTTTACTGGAGACAGTCTTTCATAGTGGAAAGTAAACCCAAAATATTTTGAACTTTATGGAGTTTAACCCTCCATCAAGTGTTCCCAGTGAACGCCTTTTTAGTGGTGCTGGTTTACGATGAACTACGAACCCATTTATCAGGAGAAACAGTATCTTAATTATTATTTATTAAATTCAATTTACCAGAAATAAATTTTAAATATAAATATTTCATTATTTTAGCACTAATTTTAACAAAAAAAAAAAAAAAAAAACTTTCCCATAAAAGTAATTTGTTATTATCTTCAAAAAATTTTTTATTGTAAAACGTTAATAATATATATTTTGCCTAAAAATTATATTTTTATTATGCTGTTACTTATTTCTCCTCCTCTTCCTCATCCTCATCCTCTTCCTCTTCCTCATAGCAGATCCTCATCCTGATCCGCATCCCCAATTTCTTTTCTAAAAAAAATCCTCATCCTCATCCTTTTCCTTATAATTACATCCTCATCAACCCTAGCTTGATAGAGCAAATTCCGAAAGACTTCAATGACCAAAAACACATAAGTACCTACTGGTGCACTTTTCTTCAATGTAGCAAAAGCATTCGACAAAGTCTGACATAACGGCTCTTCGAACTGTTTTCACTTGATAGATTAATATCTGTACCTGGACCGTACCTGGATAGTACCTGGAGGACCGAGCTTTGCTCAGTTTGTTTTTTTTGGCAAATCGTGTATTTTGAAAATTACATTTAGATACACATTACTAAGTAATGAAATATGCATAATATGTTTCGATCTTACCGACGTAATAATAAGAAAATATGAACTGGTGTTTTTCACAAAAGTAAGAACTTTAAAAAAAAGGGAAAAAATATAACAAAATAACAAAACGACAAAAAATAAAAGATAAAGAAAGCAATGATCTGGAATCGAAAAAAAAAAAATAAGTGTGTAAATGATTGTGATACGAACCATGACCTTCTGTTTCGTGGCTGTTTGTTAGCGGGCCGCCCGATTACCGACCGAGCTATTATAACATTTTTTTTTTCGGTGAAATTTACCGTCGTATTCGAATAATATTTTTCATTCCCTGAAAACTGGGATAAAACGACATTTTCTAAAAATGAAACCTAGCTATATATATATATATATATGTATATATATACAAGAATTGCTCGTTTAAAGGATAAGAAAGATATGTATTAAAATGTATACTCAATAGTGTGTTTAAAAATATCATGTTGTTATAGAGTTTATGTATATAAATTATTGTTAATTCGATTGATAACACTTCCAAAAAGTCATTTGATGTGTCGGCTCATCTGTCATTTGTGATTTTTTTTTCCAAGGGAGAGAAGCAAAGTACGGGGCCCCAGTCAGAGGAGGCCAAAGTCTAGCTACCGATCGAGACGAGGTTCGGCCCTATCGGGCAACTTCGAATCGGAATGGTAAACGGGTATTGAGCAGCCCAAGGCGAGGTCCCCTCTCGAGGGCCCTTGAGCCTAGTCACTCCATGGAGCGTCCGCCAAAGCGCCCTAAGAGCTTAGTGGCCTCCCAAACCGGTGAGATTAATAATAGCGTAACGGCCTGAGCCGAGGCTCCCTTGGCGGCAATACCTTTAAAGTACGAGCAATTCACTCCGTCTTCGAGCTCTTCCCCATTTTCCTTCTACTTTCCCTTCAATTATAATTTTCAATATGTTTATTTCTCATCTAATACCTTTAAACGAGCAATTCTTGTATGTATATATATATATATATATATATATATATATATGTGTAGCCAAAAACTAAAAACCTTAAAAAATGTAATATAATGACTAAAATATGTTATTAAATGGAGTCCCTTTAGGCAAGGTTCCGAAGATACTGGCAGCGTTCCTCCTTTAAATAGCTGGGACCGAATGGGACTAGACCCCTGTATTTGCAAGCTTTAGCTTTTTCAGCCGCTTCACAAGCCGCACCAGCTCTGTTGTTGGTTCCATATAGATGGAAAGGGGCCAGCGTGTGCCGCCCGAGCGTTAAGCTGAAACCAACCGAGGTGCGG